GGGGGACGAGTGGGTCCTCTGACAGATCGGTGTACGCGTCTATGCTACTATAAAAATAATAATATTTTTGTGTGTTTTACATACAAAAGTTTTAAATCTCTAAAAGTATTAAAAAGATGATAAACGTGTTATTACTTAAGTAGTTTTTTAAAGGATGTTTTTATGCAGGCGTCCAGAAAGAAACTCGTTCAAACGCTTGCATCTTGATGTGACTATTTTTTCCTAGGTGATTATTACTAATGCGGTAAGTACTTTTGTCGAATCGAAAACAGGTTTCAAAATCTCGGTTGACGTTTAATGACATAGCAAATCTAGTGCAAGTCATACTTTTGCGTATTTCCAGACAGCGATGCTGCGATGAAAGTAACGACGGAAGAAAATAGGCTTTGCTCACTTTCCGGCAGTCCGTCACAAATTGGAACAGCTGCTCCTTAAAGGATATCTTCTGTAAACAAGTCCACAACTCGCATTTATTCTTCATGGAAGCCTGCCTTATATTTCGAGTACTCTTCACAGAGTAATAAATAGGAACCGTTTGATAGACTGCCTGCGGCAAACAGACCTTTAATGCAGTTTTAACATTTACAAACTGAAAACAACCGACAGAGATGCAAAATAAAAAAACACAACGGCGCGGACGAACATTATTTCGGTGGTGCTAATGACTGAGTCATTTAGCCTTATCTGTGTATCATCTGCGCAGTGCAGCCGCGCATGTTCCTTTCTGGCCAAACATGCTATTCAGAAATACAGTAGGCTGGACAGAGCATGAGTATGCTGAAACAGCTTTTGTATCCTGCCGACTACGTATTCCATCGTTTATTTCCTCTAATTAACAACCTAGTTAGAGAATGGATATCGGTCGATTCGGTGATAAAAGTAACAGTCTGCAAAATTCGTTTATTTAGTGCACCTCATATACCTCTAGTCCCGGCATTTTATCCTATGGAAACGGTGGTTATAGGATAGACAGTGAAGGAAATTTGTAGATGTAAGTGTACAGTGAAAAAAATATAGTTGAATTTATTTCCTGCGGCCGCTGAGAGTAAGTTTTTCCACGTGTAAATTGAAGATGTGCGCGGCGCTTCGTGCCTCGGACTATACTAATCTAACTCCAGAAAGGTAAGTTTGACCTTAGGTAAGTTTAAGAAGACGATTACCAGTTCTATTTTTTCAGGAATTTCAAGAAATCTGAATTGTCATAATCGGGTTTCCCTGCAGTACGTTAAACGATAATAAAAATTAGGAAAACCTACAGATATAAATCAACAACATTTCTTAATACAATAAAATAAAAATGCAAATAGCAGTCATTAAAGTATATTCCCCTGCGTATCCTAATTTCCCACTCACAAAACTCTATAACCACTGTTTTCATAGGACAAAATGCTGGGACTAGGGTTTACTGTGGTGCACTACATAAACTACTGTTGCCTAAAATTCCTTTAAGTCACAATGCACATCTCAGGGTAAACTAAAAGAACCTCTTAAAGGTCCTTTTAAGGATACCAGAATTAAAATTCAAATCAGGAACTACTTCGATGAGGAAGACCGCAGTAACATGAAACATAACATAAATCTACATACGTGTATTGTGGGGGGATATATTAGTCATAGTTACCTTGCGGGCAGTTTCTCAGCCGACCATTAGTTGATGCTAAGTTCACTGCCCAGGCGTAAGTGCAAGAAAATATAAGGCTGCATCACTTTGCCTCTGAATTCCGAACGGCACTCCCACGTACCGTGTCGATAGGACATTGGACAGTGAATCATCTAATGCACCATTCAGCCCAATAAGGCACTGAATGCAACTGTTATTCAAGGCGTACGCCTGTCGGTTGACAAGTACCAAAAGCGGAATGTTTCTCTGACTCGTCTATTATAGGCTATATTTCAGCTAGAGCAGTTCCGATATGCATCAGTATCAGTTTATTTGAGAGATTTATAGGTAGATTGCCTTTGAGTTCCCTATTTGTACATGTGTGTCGCTGTAGCAGAAAACTGGTATTTCAGTTTGTAAGCGAGGCCAATTATCCTGAACCATGAGGTGGTACATATTTGTTTTTTAGAAAAATGAGCAGACAGTGAAAAAAGTCCTTGGGATTTTTTTGGAGAAAAACTGTCGCTCTTCTAGTGGGGAGGAGGGTGTGGGGTTTGGGATAAGAAAAATTGCCAAAAACCCCACTGTGAACCTCATTTTAGGGCGTATGCACAACGATAAAAAAATATACTATTTAGTGTCAGGGTGAAAATCTTCTTAACAGAAACAGTCCAAGACAGTTCAGAATAGTTGGGTTTGCCGCCCTTACCTACACGACTACAGTCGCTGATTTAGTGTCTTAGTTAGATACTGCCGAAATGCTCGAATTAACTGCGAACGCAGTTCGCATTAGGGTCAGTGGAAGAGATCCTTTCGGCTGATAGGAAGTAGATTGCATGCAGACCATGTCCATAGGCAAAACTAGAAATGGAACCTTTAAACAAAGGCAGTCGGCCTACTGTCAAACAAAGGAAATTTTCGCCCTAAAAGGTTCGACGAAGTCCTGATAGTCCCTAGTATGCCCAAGATTACTTATTTCTCCTCTGTTAGGAAAAGTGTTCCAAAAATTTAACGGACCATTGTTAAATACTGAATAATGGAATGCAGAAAAGGTGCAAGTAAAACGCCGTGGGGGATGCTTCAGTCGTTTTCTGCCTACTAAAAGCAGTCTTCAAATTTCGGTTATGTACGGAGGAATAATTTTTTTACAGACTAAGTCTGCGTAAAAATTCCTTTGCTCTGCAGTTCTGCATCTGGCGAGTATCACGTGAGGCTTGTCCTAAAAGGTGTAAGTAAGGAGACATTTACAGGAAAAGTAAACGCTTAAATAGCTTCACGCTTGTCTTGGCGGAGATAAAGACCACTATTTACCACAGTAAGTGCGTTAACTTATGATGCGTGATAAGCTAAATGCAGACCATCAATTGTGGTCACATGCTGTACATTGTATTTATTCGCCCAAAATATTTCTGAAAATTTCTATTTTGCATGCTGAATCTGTTAACAAATAATTTTCCCAGTGAATATATTTACAAATATGAGAGAATTCTACTTTATCTTGTGTTCTGACCGTTTCATAATGTAATAGGGCACGCGTTATTATATGAGAATTTTTTATTGTCAAAACGCAAGATTTGCTAAGCAGAAATTGCCATATTTTAATACTGATCTGTTTTTTCAGGTGAATTAAATGAAATAAAGTGTACGCAAACTGCTTCGTTTTTTAGAAAACAGGACTTTATCGCCTTCAAAAAAGTACATTTTTGAATCTGTACGATATCATGCCCCAAAACGAAGTAATGAAGTCTACAGGCAACCTTTTGTTCAAACGCCCCGAAAACTTCCTGCCGTTTACGAATGCTTTATTACCTTACTGAGAATCGGCACTCCAAAAAGGCTATCTTAAATATTAACTATGGAGAAGTCTTTTAAAATTGAGCTGCCATTTTTGTGTTCTGGATTAGCATATAGATTTTCTCATATGCACATCGGTCGGCCTAATGTTTTCATTATAATTGGATTTTCACCTCTTTTTTGATTCAAACTACAATAATGAAGTCATTTACGCACTACAGTAGCACGGTTTTTAAGGAAAAAATCGCAAGAAATTTAGCGACTCCTTCACCAAAGACTGTTCATGATGTGGGCATTTGCAGCTTTCGAGCCTTGCGTGTCGTTTGTGATAGTTTTTTGATGCGCAGTTTGCATGCCCAATTTTAGTCACGATGGGCAGAGAACATTTTGCTAAAAAATTAAAACAAAGCATGTCCCCTTCCCGCATATGCGGGAAGACACGTTTTGTGTGACATAGTTTCCGCCAAGGCATAATTCATAAAAGGCACGGACCAAAAGATAGCACTTTTCATAAAATCTTACTATTTATACAGCCACCCTCACTCTCATTAGTTTGACCAAAACCTAAAAAACCTAGAGGAGCGCAGAAAAGTCAAGAAATTATAAATGTATGCCCAAACAAAAGTGGTTAACTCGTCCTAACGCGGAGCTATCAGGACCTGATTTGCAAAACCTATATGCTGCATATCTAAAAAGTACAAATTGATTTTAAGCCGTATCATGGACGCTAAAGTACCCCAAAGCGTAATAGTGACCCGGATAAATGCAACATGTACACCTGTTCCTCGACAGGGAGCCTACCTTGACGCCATGCATCTGTTCTGACCAATGGAAGAGTCGGATGGCGAGCTTTGAAAGCCTCAAGTGTGGCTTGCATTTCGGCGTTGCGTAGGGAGGCATCCAGAAGGCCAAACTCTGCTTCGTCCTCGTCTGCCCCTAACATCATCGCACCTCCCTCTGTTTCAATTGCCATCGCTTCCGCTGACGCCCTATGGTTGGTCAATTCTTGATTATAGCCCACTTCATAGTTGCTCAGACCAAAGGCCGACACCCGTAGGGCCAACGAGTCGTCACCTTGCCCCGTAACTGGTGAAGAGGAAAGGGAGGAGGACTCTGAAGTGGAAAAGGGGTTGATGGAGTTGGTTGCGACTGTATCCTCATCGCTCTTATCGGCAACGCGGTGAGCGTTCGACTGCAGGGTGAAGGGAGTGAGGTAAAAAAGGGGTGTCAACAAGAACCGCGAGGGAGTTGCGTCTGAAAATAACAAAAATGCAGATAAAGTCCGTCCTCTGGGACAGAAGTGGTCAGTCCTGGAGTAACTAAAAGGCTGCTTGTATCAAACGTGCTTCTTTTCTGCAGACAGGGCAGAGCAGAATGAGAGGTAGTATCGTGGCATGACGTTTTCATGCTCAAATATTTGTAGATATTTTAGCAACACATTGCATAGGAGGGGCGTTTTACCCAGGCAGTGTACTTTGACAGCTTCATGTGGCCACCTGCATGGTGAAGAGTATGATACAATGTTTGGAGTCAGGAAAATGTTTATAATGACGCAACCTGAGATAGACTGGGGCTAGGAAATTCAGCATGCTCAATTAGCACTGCAGCAATTAGCATAACAGTCGTGTTGCGGAACACTGAAATCCCCAAAGAGCTGCATTTTCACTGGAAATGGGAGGATGCCTTAGACGAAAACCTAACAGGAATTTTTAAGATCGGATCAGAAAGGTATTTCTCTGTCTCAACGCCCCCTATTAAAGGCCCAAGGCAATGAAAGAACTCAGCAAGTTGCGATACGATATTTGTCCCCATTCATCAACGAGGTAGGCAACAGAAAATCCGACAGAATCCATATCCTTTGAGTGCGGGAGAAATAGGGTGTTGGGAGGAGTGACAGACTGTTTGAGGAACCGGATAAATAAAGCAGTTGTTCCGCACACAGTCCAACTATAGCAATCCAAACTTCTGCTCAGCTTGGCGTCTGAAGCTCAGCACAGACCAAACGGTAGTTCTATATAAACTAAAACCATCTGATGCGTAGAGTGCACCCAGGAACGGTGTGATGGGCCTTCGCTCCGTATTTCTGTATGAACTCCCCAACCTGAAACATACAAAATATTCTCATCTGCCTCATCATCGCAAACAATGTGGACTCAGTCCCAACCAGTTTTACATCACAAATTGACCTTTTTGTCATTTTCAAGACTGCCACACTACACCTGCCGAAGCGCTCTCAGGAGTACTAATGCACAGCCGACACCGAAGACTCACCCATCCATGCTATCACCGGACATTCGGCCATCATAGAGGTCTAGTTGGCCATGTGTGCCTGCATACAAATATGAGTTAAAAACCACAGACCAGGCCCTCTCTTACTACACCTCTCTGTACCTGCACACACCCCAGGCTACACATGGACCTACCCCACAACCCACACCTACAACACACCTCTCAAAACACGCTATACAGCAAGCTAGCAGAAGGCATACGGTGTATTTTGCCAGCGCCGATATGGCGTGCAAAAAGGGTTGCAGGTCACAACACGTACCTCACACGTGAATGGGTTCAATGTCTTTTTTGGTGGTGTGATCTGGTACAGGTTATGTGTGACACACGTAGGCGGGCTGTTTAAATATTGTCAGAAACTACGGCCGAGCCC